GTACAACATATAACGAAATCTTACATGAGCAATTAGCCTATGCATATCTCATTGGAAAAGTTCGACGTTTCAGGTTAGTATTTCTCGAAATGATTCAGTCTGAACAGAGACAGATAACCGTTCATATCACCAATCGCAAAATAACCATTATTTGGTGAGAAATCACAGGTGGTTGGTTGACCTAAGCGAACGTTCCGTGGAGGGAAATTTGAGAAAACACTCGTGCTTCGTAGATGTGCAACACGGAGCGCATTACTCTAGAAAGAGCACACAGGTGGCACATTGCATTAAACATCATATCACATTCAGTGAACTACTGTTCGATGTGGTGGAAAACTTTAACTTCAAATAATTATTTATTTCTCAGGTATTCTTAAATTTTTTTCAGATTTTCTAACGACCGGATAAAAAAGGATATTCGATGAAATTAGTTATAGTCTAATTGCATTTTCAACAATGTTTCATTCCTGTCAGTTGTTTAAAAAGTAATCGAAACGGAATATAATTTACCTTCACCGAGGATGACATTGCAAGTATTTGAGAATCTTTGCTGAAACAAACAGAATTGGCACTTGTGGTCAGTTGATCGAAACACTTTATCGGTTTCGGATTACTGTTTTTCACAACGTCGCTCATTTCATACAAATTCACAATTCCAGTATTTGACCTGAATGATCAGCAACGATTAATCGGCTCCATTCCATTCAAGGCAATGATCAGTAAGAACTGTAAGTGTGCGAACTAATACACTTCAAGAACAAAGCCACAATCGTAAGCTTAAAAGGAGACTCACCCGCACGCGATGAATTGTTCGTTTTGATTAACACGAACCACCGTGCCACGTACTGTACCCTCATCAATGAACATCTTTTGCTGTTCACTTTTTCTCAAATCCCAAATGAAAACTTGACCTCCCTCTAAAATGAATAAACAAATCATCAGAAGCACTAACAATTGCACTCAACGGAACTGATGTAAGATGTAAGAGTTGTGTTAGGAATACATTCAACAAAGAACAGTGTACCAGTCATTGCGTAGAGAAAATTGGATGAATTCGGTGAGAACTGAGCAGAGGTGACGAACGTCGGAGTGGTCAGGTTGTGAATATATTCCATGGACTGTAAATGAGATGAATGAGTCAGGTGATGGAAGGAAATGTGAAACATAGACTTTTTGAATGAAGTACGGAAAGGCAACAAATAATGTCTTTGTACACGACGCATGACGGTGCCTCGATGATATCACCTCCAAACTTGAATTATACCATTGCTGATAGAGTTCACTCAACATATAACCTACTTGCAATGAAAGAACATGAATTTCGTTGCGGTTCATCACTGCCATATATCTACCATCTGCCGACAAAGCGAATGAGCCACAATTGACCGTTGCCATTGCTGAATAAAAAGGACCACATGAAATTGAATTGACTCTCGAATAACAATATTTTCTAATTTTTTAAAGAAATTACAACAAAGCTCAACTTCACAAAACACGAAATGTCAGCAGTTTCAGAGAATAACATAAATATAATAACATACTACAAGGTGGCCGCATTTGACAAACTTTTCCATCCATCAGGTCATAGGAGAACACGTATGACTGAAATGGACATGCCATTGAACGATTCCGTTCACACATTCTTACGATCACAAAGAGAAGTGTTAAAATGATGAAATGGCAACGAATTATTAATCAGTCAGAATGACTTAAATCAAATAAAGTGAATTATTTGAGAAATTTGCTCACTTTCTTTTTCGAACCAGCAATAATACTCATACCGTCATGCGAAAAAGCAGCGCAACTGAGAGGAAATCCTTCAAAACGAACGTCTTGCAGAAAATGTTCTTCTGATTCCGGTAAACCGATCTAGAATCAAACATTCTCCAATAAGTAAAATAGAGCCAAATTATTGGTAACAATTGAAACGAATTCAACAACTCGCGGAAAGGATGCTGTTAAACATGACAATGTGAATGCTGTTGAAAACCTCAAATAACGATACGGTGCCATACTCACTGCCAGTCATGAGTACGTGTTGCAGAGGATGAAACTGAACAACCCTCATAGGAATCTGAAATACAGTTTATGCATCGATGGTTTATCAGTTTGAATCAATAAAGCTCAAATTCGAAGCACTTAAATAGAGGCTTTATGTCGCTCACCCTCGGTGAACGATGACCACGAGTGATATCGATTGTCTTCGAGACACTTAGTAGACCTCTTGGTAAGAGTTCACTTTTCCTTATGTACGCACCAGTCGACGCAGTCATTTGCTGTAACGCTTCATCAACTTCGTCTGCTTCTGACTCATCCTCACTCTCGACTTTGTTCCGCGACTCAACCTTACGTACTCCTTAAAACAGATTTTACACAACCTAACTATTTTCTTTTTCATTTATTTATTCAGAATTATCATTCAAAATCTCAAACTTCGGTTTTTTTTTTGGAATGACTAAAACATCAAACTGTTTGAGATACCTTCCTCGAAGTAACATTTATCATTATTCATATTCATGTTACATTACCAACAAAAAGAGGTTTACATTGATTCCTAATCAAGGAACCAATCTTAATCAACGAAACTTTTCCTCGATTTTTCAAGCAAACATTATGGCCAAATTCGACCTGAATGGCTTCTAATGAAGTCAATTAATGCAGACAATTGGAATAAATTAAAAATGATTAGAAGGTAAACATATATTTCAAACACGGAAACAAACCTTTCTTGTCGCTGACAGCCCATTTCGGGGCCGACTGGCCTGTTCCATGTGTACGTATAAATGCTTCTCGTAAACGCTTCTCATATTCCTGCAATATTTGACAGTTTCTTCGAATATTATAAGTTTGAAATAAGCATGTTCGATCTAGAAATATACTTGAATTGCATCATTTGCAGTAGGATATCGCATGCGCGCATTGAAAGTAAGTAAAGCAAGCGGAAGCACCAGAGTACCGATTTTTGAATGTTTCTGAGCATTAAAAAAGTTTCTCAATCAGAAAAGCAGTAGGAAAATTTTATCACTGCGCCGATTCGCAACATTTCTTATAACTTTTCAAATTAAAATTGAGCGTACTTCTGACTGAAACGGAAAGATGCAATTTAACTCTGAATTTTTGGAGTCAAAGTGGAATAGTCCAGATCAAAACCAAACGGTGACTTCGAAAATAAGATTTGACTTCAGAATGGTGTGTATATCACAGAGCTGTCAGTAGTACCAGCTAGAGAAGTATATATTTGCATACAAATGAAACAAGTGTCACCTCTGCATTCACAGTAGTATGGCCCACGTCAGTTGACCTCAACAGATGTACGTCTCTCCTATGTTGCGGTAAATTAACAGCAAGTTGATCATCGTCGTCACACCAAACTTGCTTCTTCGTCGTATCACTCTGCAATGAATTACAAGTACACACTGGAACTAGGAAAATATATATTCGCATTCGGCAATGATTCAATCATTTTCTCTTCAACGAGTTGCTAACCACTTCCAGCCCTGACCTCCTTCAACCCTCCACTATCACCGCAGGGCTTTCGTATACCCATTTACGAACATAGTTCTCTGGCATCAGACGAACAATAACACCGCAATTAATGAAAATCAGAAAACTCACTGCTTTAAAAATATATATTGACTAACAATAAGATAGCACTTAAATATTGTTCGCTAAGCAGAGAACTCTTAAGGAATTTTCAAAATCTGGTAGTTTTGCAGTAAACGTTATTACAAAAGAGAGCAATGCTAAAAGCCTCAGTTTAAACTTCGGACCAACGGCTCAGGCTTCAATATAAACCCGATGTGAACCTCAGTTCACGGTTAACTGTCAGGTCAAGTCTTTCGGTAAGCCTCAGTCCAAATGGGTTAGCCTTAGCTCCGTACATATTTGCAGCCCGGTTCCCTTTCACAGACAAGTTAACTATAGGATTGCCCAAAATCCTGCTATGAATTCTCTCCTACGCCTGATTTTGCTTGAGAAAATGACGAAAAATCCGACAACTTTGGTTGAAAACGGTCGTAAATCAAGAAGTGTCTAAACCGAAGACAGTATTTAACGAAAATTTGGCGGCTTTCGCAAATCGAAATTCCGTTGTACTTCAGATACAGCAAATAGCACGTAAGTAGCACTTCAGATGAGTATCGGAATGAAGCAACGAGTGCACTAGAACCTTACCGGCATTTGCTCTTCGATATGTGGCTCATTAGAACAAGACTCATCACTGCTCGTTTCGTCGTCGTTGTGCGCGTCTGAAGAAACACCGAAAAGCTTTTTCGTTAGTGCATCTTCGATTTCATCATTTCTGTTCGATCTCTTCTTCGCCTTTCTAAATCCTTCATTCACATCAACACTTGTCGACTGCTCACATTCAGCCATCCTGTAATCCAACGGCACTTTCACACAAAACTCATCATCAATACATAACAAGAGTAGCTATCAAATTTTCGCTCCAACATTTAAGATAGAACGGTGACAAGCGAACCACTCCTTGCATCAACCCCTCCATGTATCATCCAGGAATGAGGGAATCAGACTGCACCAGCAAGCATACGTATATCTGTATGAGTTCGAATTTACTGTTTGATGACCAGGTATAATAACACTCCAATTAAACTACCTCCAACTGAATCCAGTAATTTCAAAATATTCTAGTAGTATTCCAAGTTTGATTAGCGCTCTGCTGTCATTTATTTAGCGATTTCGATCATACGGTTCGTTCGGTTCGCACATATTGCTGGCCAGAACGATTTCGATTCAATTCTAGATGACAAGATTGCCAAAACTGCTCGTCGCCAAATAGTTCATCCTTACTATTAGAGAGTTTGATGGTTTAAATGAGGCTTTATTGGCCATCATTTATATTGGGAAGATAGAATTTGTTGGTGGCTCATTGCTGGTGTGTGGGACTGGATGTCACTCTTGGCTCGCCTCAGAGATCTCGATGCTTATACGAAACCACTCGATGATTTTCGGGTAAAGACTTTCACTGGAGGAGCTGGTATGGCGTTAGTCGAACTTCTTTTCATGTAAAAATATTCATTTCCGATAAATTGTCGCCTCAAGGATACGTTACACTCGCTGAATGATCGCCTCTTGCGAATGCACTTTCTTGGTAGTATTATGTGATTAGTTCAGAGTGATACTTCTGTCCTCTTCGAATTATCGCACAACTGAACAATTTGCCGTTCACTTGTTTTCTGGAGATCATTTTGATCATTGGCGTGAAGATACTCGGTCAGAAAATCTGAATGCNTCTGACCAACGACTTGATGTTAATTTCGACGTTATCTTCACGAAATTACCCTGTGCATGTAAGCATTTTAATTCTTTTTTTTCTGTTTCCTTTTTGTTAGTTGTTTCCAAGAGAAAAACCAGTCCACATCCGATCTGTGATTTGGTAATGCAGTGGAATGGAAGCGATAATAATAATAATCATTACAAGTTCAGTTGTAACGGTTGATGTAATGGATGTGAGTGGAGATCATCAAGACAACATTCAAGATGATGTCTATAAGCAACGAATCGATCAGAGTGGTAATAATATCACCGGGCAAATTGCTATGAAAATAGGTTGTTCATCCATTCTGTTATTTTGTTTCTTCATCGTGTATTAGGAACGGCTAATCACACTGAAGTGCTTTTAACATTTCGATACTCACACACGATGGATATAATGTATTATCAATTGCAAACTGAATTATTCTTGCTTCCAGCCGTGAATATAAACTCTTCGACGACCTCTTCAGAGAACCAGCAGGAAGTGAAATGCGGCAGTTGTTATGGTGCTGCTGATGGGTATGCTTCCATTGATATCTTTTAGAAATAAGATCTTTCGATTTATCGAAACATCGTTCAGAGTTTTTTTAGCAGTGTACCTTCATGCAAAATCCAATAAGGAATCCATAATTTTCTCACTACATTTTCTTAAATTCGTGTTTTTTGGTGAAATTCAAGAATGGAAGTATGATGAATTTTTGAATTCGATTCGTATAGTGATGAATTGGATTATACATTTAATGAGCTTGCATTCAATTCATAATCATTATACTGAATCGTGAGCCATCATATGTGGATGATTACTTCGTTATCAAATAGAACGAATGATGTTATCATCAACGTAAAGTCCCCACATTAAAGGTGTTGCAATACTTGTGAAGAAGTGAAAGAAGCGTATAGCATTCGGGGATGGCAGATTGATATTGAAAGTGTTGAGCAGTGTAAATCGGACGATTGGGTGAAGACTCTTAATGATTTCAAAGGTGAAGGTTGTCGTGTCTACGGCAAAGTTCAAGTTGCAAAAGTTTGTTTTCATTCATTTAAATTAACAAAACTTCAAGCAGTTTCTGAGTCATTAATTCAGCGAGTTTGAATTCATTTTCACTCCACATGTAATTACAAAACATATTTACTAAA